AATGACATTAAGCGCCGTCCTAGACCGAAATATATTGTGAAGGTGCTCAGGAACCAAATATTATTCAATGAAATTGATGCCCTGAAATGTTTTGCAGCAGGGGCGACGCACCAATATGACCGATTTTCACGATCGTGACTGTGGGCGGGAGCATGTCTGTGGTACCTAAGGGAATGAAACAACGACGGTACCAATGTACCAACGGGATTTGGTTTGCCTGTAGAAATCGGCTGGTGCACAGTATTTTGAAGCCAAACACTGACTTCACACCACAATCAAAACCGGATTTACATTTTTCGGTATTTTTCCGCAATACCTCTGCGGTGCCACACGCACCTTTGTGGTGTAGTCTTTGGTGCATCGTGTTGATGTCGATTATGATGTGGTACTAAGCTTGTATCCTCCCAGATGCTGGCGCCAACAAGCAACGCGACCGGTAGACCCCAAAGAAGCAAACGCCATATACTTTCAAGTCGCATTACATGTACCTACCATCGTACACACGACGCTAGACTAGGCAAACGGTGCTTGCTGCACAAAGCGTGTGATCAGGTCGAGCGCATGTTCTGGCTGGTCTGTCGGCACTAGGTGGCCCGAGTTGGTCAGCACAACGTAGCTCATGCGGCCGCTCGACTTGACGAGACCCGCGACCTTGCCGTTGACGACCCACGGCGTTCGTAGCGCCGAGTGGTACGACGCCGCGCCGTCCCAGTGCAGCGCGTCGAGGACGCGGGCGACGCCCAAGTGATTGCAAGACGATCCGTCCATGTTGCCTGCGTAAAAGAGCACATGGTACGCATTCAGTAGCGTCTCCAGCACATCGTCTGGGACGTCGCGCATCTCGTCGTTCAGCAAGTGCCGCGCGATCGGCGGCGCACTCGGGTTGGCGCCGAACGACGAGCCGTCGATCGAGGTCCACGGCGTTCCCGGGGGCACGTGCAACGCCGCGCGGACGTCGTCCGTATTGAAGTAGCTCGATAACGTCGTCGTGAGCGCTGTGAACGCATTGCCTTCTTGGCGAATGTCGTACACAAACGGACTGCCCGCTTGGCGATAAATCTAATACATGCGCCAACATGAGAACCCTAGCCCTAACCCTCCACAAGAAGAAACACCTCGTCTTCCGTGTCTTGGCACACGCCAAAGGCCTCGACGGACCGGCCCGCGTGGTGCAGCTGCGCGCATTGGTCGAGCGACGCGACGTGCGTCGTGTACTGTTCGTGGTCGATGAAGCCGAGCGCCAGCGCGTAGTCGGCCACGCTCTGAGTTTGCAGAAGCGGCTTCATCTCGCCGTTGCCGATCGCGACGCCCCAGAGGTTCAAGCGTACGCTGTGGTCAGTGCTCTTGGTCAAGAGCGAGTCGTTGTGGCCAATGTTGACAGTGTGAATGTAGTGCGCAATGTGCGGAACGTACTTGCCCGCGTACGACTCGCCGGCAATGATCAGTGGACTCGTTGCGTATTCGGGATGCAGCGTAAAGAACGCCTGCAGCGCAATGTAGAGCTGCGCCGCCATCTCTTCTTGCGAGTTGACGTAGCCATCGTCGGACGTCGCACTCGTGTAGCCCGTGCCGACGGGCTGGTCGAAGAAGAGCATGTGCGCCACGTTGGTCCAGCTGTGCGGATGCGACTTGAGCGACCCGTCGGCCTGCATGCGGTATGGGCCCATCTCGGTGAGGAGACCCGTCATGGAGGACGCGCCCGGGCCGCCGTTGAGCCACACGATGAGCGGCGTTGAAGGTGACACTGTGCGCGCCTCGAAGAACCAGTAAAAGATGTTGCCACCGCCGTCGTTGACCGGCACCAAACCCGCATACTACCGCATTGTAGGTCGCGTCATAGACAAGAGCGACGGGAAAGAGTCTACCTGGGTTTCTTCGACTTGGCCAAAGCGCGGCAGTGACGTCACCGCGTCGGCAGCCATTGCGCTGACCGCTACTGGAAGATGTGAGCACAATCAATGAAAGAAGCGCAAAGTACCCGGCGATGCAGTTATCTTTTGCATGGCCAAGCCCACGGCCACAAAGAGACTCGTAAGGACAAAGGCCGCGACCGCGACAAGGCTGCGCGGACGGCGTTGCGCACTCATCGATTGGGGTCCGTGCACCAGCGGCGTCGTTTCGGCCATCGTGCTGGAAAATCGCAAGTGCTCTACTTGAACATGGCGCCACCGTACAAAACGTACACGTGCGTACGTACTGGTACGTGCTTGACATGTGACATGTTGGCGTAAAGAATTGGGTTGTACGGCTCTCCGTACAGAGCTGTGTACGTACGATCTGCGTACAACCAGCCTGTCCCAAGGTGCCTCGAGAAGCGCTGTGCAGGTTGGTACCGGCAGCAGCAGAGCCTACTTCCCACGGCATCTCATTTGCTACAGTCTCGTCGATCCAGCGCCGATAGGTCGAGCGACGACTATCAGTCGCATAACTGTCGACTGCATGCTTGCTTCCTTTGCCGCGCCCACTTCAACCTGGTTTATCCGGAGAATGACACATGATATCCGGATGACATGCCTTCGGGTTTGGATCGCGAGGTCTGCGCAGATTGGGTGGGGTCCAGTGGGTGGGGTCTGCGCGAGCAACCCCAGGTAAATGAGGTAAACGCATATAACGTGAGTGTACTACCGTCTATGAGGCCGTTTTACGCGTCGTCAAAGCTCACATACGAGCAGGGCACGCCGTCGTCGTTGAAGTGGCGGCGAATGTGACCGTCTTGCACTGCAAAAGATGTCCCGTCAGGTACCGTCAATGGCGCCGACGCGATGCTTCCCGGCATGCGAATCTCGCTCGGAATGTGGTCGACCATGAGCACGTCCGGAATGGTCGCGATGTCGGCCTCGATGCCCATCCAGTAGAGAAGCATGCCAGGTCCAAACCGGTTCACATACGCGTGGGCCTGCGCAATGTGCTGGGCTTCGTTCTCGGTGCCGCTTTCATGGGCCATGGCCTTGGAGTCGATCCACTGTACGAGGTGCCACCGGCCGTCCCGGCCACGCACTTGAATCGGCGCCAGCAAGAGAGCGTCCGGCGTCTTGGCCAAGCCGCGCTCCCGCAGCATGTGCTCGTTCTCGAACGGAATACCGAGCTGGTGTAAGCGCAAGATCATCATGTGCTCGTACTCGTCGCCCTCGCTGCGGCGGATGCGGTCGCAGAGCGGCGAGCAGTGCACGTCGGCGACGACACAGGCCCGGAGCTCGGCGCGGAGGCGCCCGGACAGGCCATGCTCGGGAGTCTCATCATCTAGCGTCGCCAGCAGCGCCTTGTAGATGTTGGCTTTCGGTACTTTGTTGCTAAACTCGAGGAAGACCCGCGCGACGAGGCAGGGTGCCATGCGCAGGTGCTGGCTAATGGCCAAGAGCGACGCCTTCTCTTTGTGCATCTGGAAGAGCGTGTGGATCTGCGGGCTGTTGACCTTGCGGAGCTGCCGCACGTGGCTACGCGCGAGCACTTGCTGCGCCTGGCGCTCCTTGGCCAGCGCAAACTCGGCCCGCTCCGCCGCCATCGCAACCGA